AAAGCATGACCGTTGGCACATCAATGCATGTCAGTTGCAGGTAAGGAACTATGGTTGTTGTGTTAGTCTGGATAGAGTAGAGAAACAAATTCAGAGACACTCAGTATAAGAAAGAGCTTTATATACAAGAGCAATTGAATACTGAGACAACATCCCAGCCCAATGCAGATCAAGTCCGTAAGTTCAATACCAATCTATAAAGTCCTCTCTTCTGACTCACAAAATACATGCAATAATGCCGAATGCAGGAAGATCACAGGCCAGTGGGTGGTAAGGCTTGTGGATCCAGGGGTGTTGTAAGCAGCTCAGCCCTGGCAGGGTTCTCCACATGGTTCCTTCAGCTCAGAGGCTCTGACTGCCATCAGCCTGTCTCCATGAAGCTTGTCAACAAGAATGTCTCCCAGGGACTGTGGAGGGAGAAGGGAGAGGGGAGAGGAGAGAGGAGAGCAGAGAGAGAGAAAATCTCCTGCCTCCAAGTAGGAAATACAAGTTCCCAGAATCCTCAGGAGAAGCCAATGCCCACACAGAGGCCTCATAGGCTATTATGTGATTGACAGCCCTTCACTCTGAACCCTCGAACCGACACCAGATTATGTAATTACCACAGTTATGATATGTACACAGATTGGAAGCTGACAAGATTGGTTCAGGGCCTTCAAACTAAGCCTCTTGAGAAAAAGCAACTTTAGTTAGTACCCAACAGCACACCTGAGCAAGTCCTCTAGGGCTAGGCTGCCCCTTCCTTAGCCGGCTAGAGGAGCACTAGCAATCCACTTTCAAACACACTGCAGGGCAGTTTTTCACATTGTATAGTCAGAAAGAAGTTAATGGAGGATGAATCCAAGTGGAGACACAAAAGTGGGTTTAGGGCTTTCGCTATAAACCGTAGCCTTCATCAAACAGTGCTCAAGTTAAGTAAGCTCTACTAGAGGTCAAAGGAAGAGTACTTAACCCCGTTTTAAACTTCAGAGATCAAGAAAAGCGTGTACTCTTTGGCCTCAGTAAGATTACATTGAGGGAAATCATCTGCTGTGGTCTGAGAGAGCTGGGGACCAAGAGGGGTTTTGATTTGGTGAGGAGCTGGTACCTCGTTTGCGATGCAGTAGCTTGAGGAGACTCTGGAGCTTGCCTAGGACGAGGAGAAACCCGAGGAAGAAGTCAAGACTGAACACAAAGATCCTATTTCATCCTTCCCCATTCCTTTGTTGGACCTAAAGTAACTGGCACATGCGCACAAGCATATAGCTCCCCCCCAGCCCCCACCTTTTAAAAAAAACCTAAATGGCCAATGATATATTTGGGTCAACATCCAGTGTATATGGAAACAGTACTGGTTCTGGGAAAACACCCCCTTCCCCACTAGTGGCATGCCCACCCAGCTCCATCTCTATATTCTGACCCGACCAGCAGAATGTCAACGCAGACCCTGGAGGAATGAGAATTGAGGGGAAGAGACAAGAGAAACAGAGACAAGACAGTATTCTGATAAAGCCTCTATTGAGTGAAAGGTTGCAGCCTATATAGGCCAGGGGAAGGGAACCACCATCGCACATGTAAATTAGGCTACTTTGGTAATAGACCAATCAAGGAGTCCGGGGGAGTACGCCCTCAGTACCGGTTTACAGTCTAAAACCAGGTCCGCAAGGTGACGTCATTTTATGCAAATAAGGTGCAGGCACTAGATATGTAAATAGGGTGAAGACAATCTACCCAATCAAGGGGAAGCAGGAATACTATAATCACAAAACTGTCAAGCAGGCAGGAATGGAAAAGTACTGCAAGCTCTGACAAAATACAGTGAAGGTTGAGCAGGATGGCTCCGGACAATATCCCAGTGTGATTTTGCTCCCAAAATCAAACAAAAAGACCAAAAAAATCCCTTGCATACCCTGTTAGTTTGGAGAATTTTAATGTTTTCCATTTGTTGTAAAACCAACGATTTTATAGCTTTTCTGTACGTAGCTGTTACATGTAGGGCAATTTGTCATTAGGGGTAAACTACTCTCAAATGAAGCCCAGATAGCTTAAGTCAACCACCTTAACCTTAGAAAAAAGGGGAGATTCTTAAGATGTATTAGTGAAGAGTAAGCAATTATTGAAGTCTGTTGCTACTGAAAGAAGGTAAACATTTTCTTCTCTAAAGCAAATGATCATTTTCCTTTAACCCAGTGCCAGGGTAGCCTGGTTGAATGGCTTGACTCCCTGCCCATCGCTTGAAACATGTTCACATGTAAGATACCGTTGCTATTCACAGGATGAGACTGAGGATCATGGTAGAATTTTTGGCCTCAGCTTTCCTTATGCCCGCCCCCTACCTGGATTCTTCAGGGAATATTAGCTCATCTGTTCTGATCGAGTAACAAAGGGAGAGCGCTGCTAGGACTTCTTTGTTCATTGGGAAATCGCAGAAGCACTTTTTCTGATCATCTTATATTTCATCCAGTAGGCAAATTGCAGTTGCACGTACGTATAATGAAGCCATCCGAAAGGTTACCCACCCGTTTCAACAAAAAATTAGCCCATAACAGTACTTACTGCTGAAACCTTAGATCATGAACCGTGTTACCAGTTCTTCCTTTGGCAGGTGAGTGGCCCTGAAAAGGGCCTTTGTATTTTACATTAAAAGCAGACGCAGCTCAGCCGCCGAAGCCGTAGAGGGTGCGGCCCTGGCGCTTGAGCGCGTAGACCACGTCCATGGCCGTGACCGTCTTGCGCTTGGCGTGCTCCGTGTAGGTGACGGCGTCGCGGATCACGTTCTCCAGGAACACCTTGAGGACGCCGCGCGTCTCCTCGTAGATGAGCCCCGAGATGCGCTTGAC